CGTTGGATTAGATTTATATGTAACGTTAATGCTTACTAATGTGCCACAATATGGAATAAATATCAATATATCTTTTTTGAAACATTTTTATGAACTCTATTAATCACATTTTTTATTTTGTTTTTTAAAAGTAGAACAGGGAATAGTATTGACATTTCATTCCCACAGCCTGTGTTTAAATGACCAGTAAAATAAACTTTAATCCTTGGAGTCCTTTTCCAAGCAAGATATTGCACATATGTGATTGTTTTGGCCAATTGAATCCTCATATATTTCTGCAAAACCTTAAAGTTGTTTTAGGGATAATCGGTGTATCTATAAGTTTGAGACAGGTCTGCGGACCTGCAAGGAGATGTTTGAAAAACACAGAAACAAATGAGAAATGGAAAGCAGCCATTGTCAGTGCTGACTGCTGGTGTTCCTCTATTATGTCCTGGAAAACCTGGATATTACACTTGTTTTCCAGTCATTGGGAACCACTGGCAAACTGATAAAATGACAAACTGACCTGGAAAAATCTAATTGTGCTTCAAATCGTCTCTGCGTATAACCAGGTGGAAAGCACATGGCTGACCACCTGCCTGGAATGAAACTTCGCATAACTTCATCAAGAACCTGCATCATTAAAAAAAGAGAATAAAACTGAGAAAACTTGGAAATATGCATGCCTTACTGGTAAAAACAGTTAGCGGCCCAGAAATATTTGGAAGTGCACAAAATGTTGATGATTTGGGCCACTGCATGCCACCACATTGGATTTGAAATGGGGATGAAGATAAGAGAAAACTGGAGATGCAATTGCAGTGTTAGATTTTCAGGTATATTTCATGGGGGTTGAACAAAAATATTCCTTACGAAACAATTTAGGAATTGCAACCATTTTTATACAAAGTTATTCTCATTTCAGGGCCCAAAATAATTGGACAAAATTAACATTACCATAAATAAAATGCTTTATTTTTAATACTTTGTTGAGAATCCCTTGCAGGCAATAACTTCTGTCAGTGTTTAAATATATATGGACCTAACTGTATGACCATTTGTAAGCAATGCTGCTATTGTGAAGAAAACATCTAGAAAATGTCCTGGAATGGTCCTGGAAAATGATTTCTTAAAAAGAGAGGGACCCCTGAGAACGATGTCAGCACTCCCCTCTGTGAGTTTTGGGAAGCCCTGTTGTAAACATACTCAGTCAGCATCGTCTTTTCTAAATGTCGACACTTGTCTTCTAAATGACAGCAAATCTAATCAAAAAGCACAACTGGCTAGAGTTACATATATATATATATTATGTCATAATAATGCAGTTGAATGACGTCTCTTCTTACCCCTCCCTTAATGTTTCGTTCGTTCGTTCTGAATCTACAGTGTAACCCAATGTATTTTTATGTTTCAGTAAAATATAAAAAATCCATCTAAAACAACACGTTACTGGCTAAGATAACAATATATTGGCCATTGGTCTGCCTGCTCTCTAAATATTGGCATCGGCCATTAAAAAGAATCAATATCAATACCACTAGTCTCATGCCACCCCATGAATATTTCTCTAGATCCACCCCTGTTGATATGGTTTAAACTTTAGAAACATTAAGTTACTTTGAAAACAGTTACCTGATGGTTTTGATTTGAAGTACCACCTGCACCATTACGTTAGCTCAGTTAGACAAGCTGCTTTTACTGGTCCACACTCAGTATTACTGGAACATATCCAGCTGTTGATAGTGGTTCACACATAAGCGACTGTTCCATTAAGCTTCAATACAATGTAAACATCCAGCTCTGGGTTTGGCTACTGTGCTGCTGTCTTTGTTAATCAGACTTCCTGAGGAAGGTGTACACCCTCCTGAGCTTGCAGATCATTCTGACCACAGCCACCTCTGCCCTCTTCATGTTTTCTCAAACCATCAAGGAGTTTGTCCACGCCAGGTGAGGATAGTCTGATTATCATCTAACCAACATGTGAACGATGTCATTAAGATTAAGAACAACATCCAAATGCAGACCTGTACCTGTTTCACCCAAATCACAAAAAGTATTACTTCATAGTATTAAACTTGAACTTCCTAAATATTCCCTTAGTTTGGCTTGTGAGAAATCTTAAAGTTGGGCTGCTACCACATAACTGGGGTTGAATTTTTCAGGTGTGTCTTCAAAGTTACACCCTTACAGTTTATATGCATGGTGGTTTATTATTGTTGTATTGTCCTATTTTAACTGCTGGACTGCTGAAAGAATCCTACACATCCTGAAGATAAGCTCACTTGGCCATGTTGTCTGACTGGTCTGGTTCTTCCTCAGTCCTGCTGTGGTCTTGGTTTCGGCTCTGGGCTCTCTGGTTCTTCTGCTGGCCCTGGCCGTGTACAGACACCAACATCCAGTCAACCTCTACCTTCTGCTCGTATTTGTAAGCCTTTGCTGCTCCACCCTGTTAACTAGTTGATTGTTTTATTGTACCATTGAGATTAGCTGGTGGATGAATGTAACATCTGTTGAAATGGAGCATGGTAATAAATCCTACACAGTAATGCACTTTAATAGATGGAGTATACTGTATTTTTCCCTCTTCCATGTGTTTGTATATTTACCAGTTTGACTTTGTAATGCTAACCCTGGTCAGTCACTTTTACAGTAGCTGGTTATTTAATGATAGCTCCTAGCTTGTTAACATGTAACTGCTACTAATTGTGTGTTGTTTTCAGACTCTTCTGGAAGCAGTGTCTGTGGCCACAGCGTGTAAGTCATTTTAAAAAGAGTGTCAGTTAACGTCCTCTGAGCCTGTTTGCAGATGGTCCTGACTGCGTTTTGTCTCTCCACAGTGACCTTCTATGAATACTCCACCGTACTGCAAGCCTTGTTCCTGACCTGTGCTGTGTTTGCTGGACTAACAGCCTACACCTTCCAGTCCAAGAGAGACTTCAGCAAACTGGGAGCAGGGTGAGTGTGTCATGGTTGCAACATGAACTGTGTTACCCCACTTTGAGGCTGATTTATATTCGTATGTAGGTTCTTTGTCGAGGCTGTGGCATTCTCTGCAAAGTGAGCTACGCTGTTATTAGCATTTCTACTTGCAGGCTAGTGTGTGAGGACACAGAATCTGAGAGTGTGTATGTTTGAAGAGGGATTCTTAAACTGCTTTCTTAACTCATCTAGCTGTTGCATGAGTCACTTCTAAGTGTGAACCTATCACGATGTCACCCCTTGGTTGTGGATTATGGCCGTCGCTATGGCGATTTGTCTGTAACGTACTGCAAGTTGAGTTGCTCTCATTGTCTGCGCAGTTTTGACTAGTTTATAGTGGGAAACAATGGTGGCTCACCTGGTCACACACATTCTCGTATTACAGATAAACTGTATACAAAAATGTGTTTGAAAATAATTTTTGGCGAGAGATAGGCAATGCTGTAACAGGATCTTGATTCATATCTGATCAGCACT